CGATTTTATGTAGGAACTAAAGAGATAACATATCTAGCAATAACGTTAAATTTAAGAACACCAATCTCTAAAAGATCTATATAATATTTAGTCTCTTATTCAGAACAAGATTGGATCCCATCACTTCCTTTTGTTTAGAACCAAAATTTTAGGATCGATTTTGAAAATATTGACCAAGTGGAAAGCTCTTTAAATGAGTAACCAAGACTATAATAGATTACTTATCTAAGCGAAGCCGCTATTGATTCATATTACATGAAAATTTTAAGACAGAAGATTCTATAGTAAACGCGCGATTTCTGCCGTCAATGTGAGAGGGTTCTAATAACTGCTAGCTACACTGGAAGCACGTGGGTGGTTTTGATCTGCGCAGTGCACGCGCGCGCGCAATGTAGTCATTAGTTTGTCATGAGCGGGTGTTGGATCGATAGCTGAGGAGGAGGTGTCGCGGACACAAGGTCACTCCGTCTCTGTGTCAGGAGCGCGCCTCACATACGACAAGCCAGCTGATGACAGCGGTAAAGTGTAACATTAACACTTCTTTTTTTCTATTTTATTTTATTGGTGTTGTTTTATGTGACTTTAAGCAATAATCTTTATTTATTCTATAAAGATCTTACTTTTATTTTTTTGGATAAAATATGCGTTTCAAAATCACTTTTTATTGTCTTTTTATGTCACTGACGCACTCATAACTATTGAGTGGTCACTAAGGCAGACCCTAAGTGTAAAGAGACCCCTTAGCGACTTTGATGGAGGCAATTAGTGTATTATCAAGCCTATTTACTTTCGAAGACGTTTTATCATTATTAATTAGAGTCTGTACGCTTTGTGACTTTCTAAAGGTGAGCATCGTGGGCAAGTGCATTGAGCGTGGGATGTTGGGTCTGAGCTTGTTGCAGCTAATTAGATTGCGTTGTATCGTCCCGTGTCCCGTGCGGTGGCGTTCTCTGGCGACACTCGCTGGTGCGTTTAGAAAGTGTTCTATACCATTAATACATGTCCACGGATAACACAAGTAATTAAGTATAGATTTCATTAACAAACGCGTAATTAGTTAACTTTTCGTTGATCCTGACTAATTCTTTTTTATTTAATGTTTAACCAATCTAGAATCTTTTTTATTTAAATTACATCGATCGCTTATACTTGTTTTATTCTAGATAAAAAAATGAACAGAACTAGTTCAGTGATATTAAAAAACAATTAACAAAATATTATCGCGTCGAATGTAACAATTAAGTGTTAACATTATGATAAAATATTACATAACACGATGTGCATATTAAAAACACATAATCTGTATATTTTCACATTAAAAACACGTAAAAAAATAATCAAACGAACATCGTCAATGATGTAACGGGTTGTTTGACTAGCTGTTGTCACTTTCATTATAGCGTCTTCGTTCGGTGTAATAGGCATTTAAAGGGTTTCGATTTACAATTTGTTTTTACAGAATATTATGTCAAGTTACAAACTTTATGTCTTAAGTTCAAAACATACATAATCTTCTCTTCCGTAACATCAGTATTAGCACAATATTACCATCACTCTCATTGTTTTGAAAACAAAAGAGACAACAATAATGATCGAAAACAACATGTTAAAATTCACATCAGGTAATATCAAAACACATATATTACTATGTTATATGACTCTACGTGTTAAATGTTATTGGAGGAACAAAGTTTTGTCGATGAAAGATAAATGCAAAAATTATTACGTTGTTGGCGACAAGCTTCACACGATCTGACACATCGCTAAACCATTTAAATTTGTTTCTGCGAAAACTGGTTGGTTTGCTGTGCAAATTGTGTCAAATGTTGTTACAATTATGTCGTGGATAAACGAAGACTGAACTCAGAATACTTTGTCACACCAAAATGTGACTGCGAGGAAACTATATGTCATTGAAATTTTTATGATCGAAAAGACTGAGAACTTATCAGCCTGACCCATCCTTTGTAACGTATGGAATAACAATTTTAAAACCTGAACCAATTTTAAGAAGGCAATAGACTCATTTTGGTACACTCTCTCATACAAAATAATCGGATTCGGTCATACATGTCTCAAGTCTTACCCTAACTGTAACATTCTGCTCCTACTTACACTCTAATTACATTTACACCTACTTACACCCTATTTACATTCTAATCCTACCATTAAATACACTACATCCCTGTACCAAACATTTTTAACAATTCAGTTTACATTTCACTGTTCCGGAGGTTGTGTTAATCATTAATTTTAAATACAAACAAATACGACAGAATTAATTGGAAAATTTTCTATTTGTATAATTTTATCGAGTAACCGACATATGAATGCGGATGCACAAACAACAGGAGACAAAGCAAACGAGATACCGTCGTTGTAAGATTAGAAGAAATGCGTCGATACAGCACACGGCCGGCGCAGCGCGCGTGCGCCGCGGCGATAACGCGCGCACACCTGCACATGTCTGATGCAATATTTTTGAAATCTGAATAAAGCCATTATTACATAATGCCTTTATTAATTTTTTATATAAAAAACATTCTGTAGTTTAATCATTGACCTTTATAAATGGACAGGCGATAACCGTGGTATTTTGTGCCTATACGATTCTCGCCATTTTGACGCTGACGGTTGCGAATGGTAATGGTGCTAAGGGTACGAACTAATAAAAAAGGATATAGAATTAACTGTTAGCAACTTCAACAGGCATTTTAGGTCGGAACGCAGCGGCTATCAATTCTAAGTAATGACCTATCCATTTATTGAGACCAGTTTGATTACAACAAAGACTTTCTATGTTTTATTTTAATGTATATGGTGGGCAAAGGTAACATTCGGCAGCAGCCAAACACATCGCACATCGAGGGCAGAGACGAGGCCGCAGATATGCACAAGGTAAATTACTACTAATTAATTGTAGTAAATGTTAAATTACATCGTGTGACGTCATCGAGGTTTATCGAACAATAATTATCCTTCACATGTCTCGAATGTACCAACTAAATATAAAACCTCTTTTCTTTATCTCCAAAAAAAGTGTAGCAAGGTATTCCAGTTTGGGAATGCGCATTTTTTTGTAATTAGTATAGCATTGTCATTATTTTTATGTATAAAAACAAGTTTTTTGTACACATAATATTCTCAATGACATTTTATTAATATATAAAACTTCAAGTATTATTCTATATACTATATAATATGTATAGACATATGTATAACTATGATGAGTTTATGTTCAACACATTAAATGTTGGATAAACACATAAAAATATAAAGTTAATCTCTATTCAATTATCTTCATGATGGCGTCGTTTGTTTACTCGATACTGTGACATTAACGACGGCTTTGGCAACTGGAAATATGAATATACTTTGAATAAATTACTACGATATAATCCTACACAAGACTCATGAAGGATTATCAAATAAGTTACATTATTATAATAAAAACGTATAATACAACATACAGGAAAATGCTCTAATTTAAAAGGATTTTTTTTAATATATCACAAAACGGCATTCGTTTCGAATATTTAACCTAATGACACCGGTGCGATTTATTCATAAGCACATAAGTCCGATGTTTTTATTTACCAAAATTAATCAGCGTGTATTTGTGTGCATGACACTCACTCAAACAGTGATTCAATTGAAACGACGCAGACAAACAAACATTATAACAAATTAAACATTATCCTTAAACACGTAACGAGATTCTTTTGAACAGTGATTTGAAAATTAACAAGAACACTGTAACAACAACGTCCATATTAGTTTCTATGACAACTTTAGCTTTAGCTTTGAAACACCTATTTACGGAAAGGGGGTAATTTAAGAGGCTTCTTTATTTAAATTTGATAAAACAAGTAATACATAAGATATGTGAGGAAAAACGGTTTGTTCTAATTAAATTCTATTGCATTTAATGACTGATCTGTTAACTTGCCTTATTTCGAACTTAAATATAGCAAAGCATGTGTGCAACACTGAGTCTCGAGTGAGCCAGTCGTGACCGCAGTCCCTGTCGGTCTGGGATTCAAACCTGACCACTTATCTGTCTATCTAGACATTACATTGCCTAGTTCGAGAACCCCGCGGGATCCTAGCGCCTCCTAGCCACTAGCGAAAGTTTTCCTTGAGATTTTTTGTTGTCTGTTTTGTTTTAAAATGATACATATGTAGGTATACTTCTCAATGTAATGATCAAATGCCCTTAGTTACTGCAAACAAGACAGTAATGATCCTAGCTGCTTAAGTATGTAAATACAAATGAGGATCCTAATTAAAATGTATAGGTGAAGATAAGGCGATGTGTTGATTCCAATGTAAACACGATGCAGAATTCCTCGAGTTACAGATACGTGAGCATGAGAGTTCCAAAACACAGGTGAGCAAACAGACAACCTCACGGCACATATTTGTTTTGATACAATGGAGACAAAGCCGGGAACATTCCTGCACCCACCGGCCGGCGCTGTCATCGACATACAAAATAACCCAAACATTCAGATCACCTTTGTGATCTTTACTGGCTTCCCACTGTCCAAACACTTGTATAGAAATATATCGACATTCCAAACATTCCATTTGAAACAGATGACAACATGTATTCGACAGTGGAATCAAAACAAGATCAGATTCAAACAAAAGTCACATAACAAATTAAAGAGTTAGTTTAATCAACAGTTTGTACAAACTACGAAGTAATCTACTGTTTGTCTATGTATGTCATCTACATACAGTATACACTAATTATTATAGAATAGACTGATTGTAGAACAAACATCAAAACAAAATATTGTTGCTTTGATTAAACCTTTGTTATACGTTTTATTTCAAATCACAACAAAGTTAAAAACTTAACTTACAGCACTGATAGTCATCATTAACGATGTATTTTAACTGACCTCATTATAAATTCGTTAAAAAGCATCGCCCTAACGAGATGAATCACTAATTCGTATGTTAATTAAGTTATGTTATAAGTTGCAACTTACCTGAGAGCGAGGCGACGTCTTCTACCCGAGACCGGCCGTTAACATTTAAAAACTTTACACTATCTTATCAATTACACCTTTATTTAGTTAAATATTTAAATAATAGAAGCTCAATCGTGTGTTAGTGGTTAATTTTGAAGCGTTAGGTCTTCGCGAAGTCGGTTCGTTCGTGTCGGCCGCTCGGCGCACTAAACGGTCACTTGAGGTCGGTTTGTTAATTTTTTGTTTTTATTTGCGTTCGTAGCTATGAGCGATTTGTACGTGTGGTACGTTCGGCAACCGAGCGATCACTGCGCGCTAGGCTGCGCCGGCGCAGGTCCAGCGGGGTGCCTCCGCCTCGCTGCCTGCTGCCGGCTGCCCTCCCATCCCTCAGCCGGAGGCTTCGTTGCCCTCAACCCAACCAACGTTACGTTAGAAAGCTACGATTAACGAACTCGTCTCGCTAAATATGCTTGCGATTTTTATTTAAAATACAAAAAAGCTTCGTTCCTTCGTAGTTCAGCGTACTTACTATTATCTAATTTGCAGATGTTGGTAATGCTTGATGATTAGGTTTTAATAAATATTTCAAAAATAAACCTTGACCTATCTTTGATTTATAGCATTGGATTACATTTGACGAGTAACGTCACGCGTCAAGACGCACTACCGCTGTCACCTGCAGCAAGCAGCCACGACCAGCTCCGTGTCAAGCGCACGATGTTATTGTTTGTAAATCAATGTTGTTTTTAAATCGATTGCTATTGTTCCCGAGGACCACATTCGTCTGAGTGAGGACGTATTAACAAAATACATTGTACTATGTATTCCAACATTTCATATTATGAAGTAATACAATCCAGTTTATGTCTAGAACAAGTATTATTGGAAACAGAGGATTAAATTGCAAATGCGAGTCGAGTGTTTGGACAAAATCCTTCCGGTTGTGTATTTTGAGACCTAAGACTGAAGTGATGTTTGAATTCAATTTATTTATTAAATACCTAAATCAGTTAAAAATCAAGCTATGTTGGATTATGTCACATAATTGCCGGAGGAACCTTTATATCTTTTAAATATATATTATAATTTACGTAGATTAGAACTTGATATGTTTAATTTTATGGTTTTAGAGTGAAGTTAAAACAGAAACACGAAATATAATTGTATTATGTTCATATAAAGTGTATATTATAATATAATTGAAGCATGTAAGTACTCAATAAATTGGTAGTAAATAAGTCATCGTCATAGTATAAAGGCCTAGTGAGACTCTCATGGCACCTCATGGTTCTATAGTGAGCATGCTCGATGCCGCACGGCACGAAAACTAGTGATATCTAATACGTTTTTATTTTTATGTGAATACTTGATAAACAAATAAGTTTTTAATTTTAAGTAAAAAAGGTTCTTAATTTTCTTCCTCATTTTATATAGCTTTTATATGAAATTTAGTTATTTTAGAATAACATAAATATATGAAACTTTCTATACATATCGTCACCAGATTGTTCCCCTGAAGTATTGTGCTGGTAAGGAAGCGCCTGCGCAGGTCCGCCATGTTGATGCAAATGCGTGACGTCATAGCTCCAGTCGATGTGAGCATGACCTCATACCGTCTGCAGAACCTTTTTTATTTATTTCTGAAGTTATTTATATAACTGCAGAACAGTTAATTGATGACTTAACAGAAGCGAGCTTTTTTGGGAATAATTAAACGAACGTTACTATCTAAGTATTATAAATTTAATTGAATTTTATTATTTTAATAGTTGAATTTTATCAGTAGCATCAAAATTCCTATAAATTATTAGTAACTTTAAATATTCCGAATAATAGCGAATTCTGTTTACTTCTAAAACCTTTCGTGATTGAACACCGGCATTTATTTTACGAGTTTTCCTCAATCCTACACACATAATTACTACGTTTTATTGACAAACTTATGAATAACATTATCGACAGCAGCAATTAACGGAGGCTATGGCGTGGGTGAGAAGTTAAACAACAAGAAATTAGCCGTGAATTAAACACTATAACTGTCACTTTGACAACTGGAGCTAAATGGCGGGAAATTACTGTCATTTTACTGATTTATACATATATAGGAAATACTGTTCCCTACAGCAGATACAAATTGTGCTTGGTGCGTATTTTAAATGTGCATTTTCAAATAATTGTATTGTATTTATTTAAATGTAATCAATGATGAATGAACACATTAAAAATAAGTAATGTATGCACATAAATTGAGGATGTGCAATGATAATTCGCCGCGTGGGAGATGGCGCGCATTAATCTTGGCAATGCCCAAACACGAGCCGAACAAAAAAAGACAATCGGTTGCCATTCCGGGATTGCGCGAGTTCCCGCGCAGCACCGCGCCGCGCCGCAGGTCGACAACCCGCGACCCGTGCGAGAGTGTTCACTGGACGGCCGGGACGCGCGGATACATTCACCTCTCACACTATGCTCCAACCGATTGGGATCCGAGTTATGTACCTTTTTGCATTTTTATTATATTCGCTGTCCGGCAAAGTCTAAATAAGTAAGAAAATGAATGTCAGTTAATTGTAACGCCTGGCAGGATCTAGTGGACAGCCCGCCGCCGCCAGCCTGCGCTATGCAATACCAACGTGACGTCATTTCACCCACGCGTGGACGCCGCCGAGACACCTCGCCACGTAAACATGTCGCCCAGTTATCTAACACGATAATCGTATTTTAGTTTTGATAAAAGCTAATGGTCTCCGGCTACTTATTTGCTCCGTGACAATGGCAAACCTACTTCCTACTAATTCAGTGACTCACTTAGCGACCTTATAAAAAAATGCAGGAGAAAATAACAAATGATAGGTAAGCTGTAAGTGCTTGTTATGTTGTGATGATCTGTTCCCAGCTCGAGTAAATGAGCAGATCACGGCACATATTATTCCACTCACGCACATTAGATACAGGAGTAAGGGCAGGGACACACTGCGTGACCGCCCGCTCTGACACTCGTATTGTGATACGTGACGCACGATCATAGTGCGTGAGGCAGGCGACATCTAGTGCGTAAGTACGTCACGTAACGGTATAACATTCAGCCAAATCATTCATTCATTGGGTCCTGAATCTTAAATTATGTAATAAAATATTATTTTATACATAATTTCCTATTTAAGTACTTAGCTTTTACTTTAAATCTACGTTTGTATTATATAAATCAGATCCTGATGTTGTCCTTTTACAAAGAACTGCCCAAATAATCATTTAAGGATGTCGATTTACGAAAAAACAACGACTTCATTTTTAAATATCTGTGATTAGAAGCTCACGTCAAGAACAAACTGAAGTAAGTATAGGCATTAAATTGAGATTTTAATGAAGATAGGAAGAGAATCTGTATTCACGATGAATAACTTTGAATAGAATCCTTGTAACCTGCGGCATATTGCCAATATCATTGTATCTTAATTAATTTCCTTGTTCTCAGCTGGCACTGTACTAATCAAACTCCCCGGCTTCAAATCAAAGCAAAGTTAAAATACTCTTCAGTAAGGATAGATAATAATTGCGTCACAACTGTAAGCTGTCTTTTTCCGAGAAACTTATTTGTTTAGTCAACACAGTTATTAACAAGCGATGATGTATTGCCACCTTGGAGCGCAGGCAATGAATCGGCGCACGCGTGGGCGTGGGCTCACACAATATGCACACAACTTTAGCATTGCGCAGAGGATGTGCGAACAATTAACAATATTGAATTGAAGCTTGGCATTGAAAAATTGTATGCGAATATTATGATCAACGATTTATAAAACCTTATTTAACTGGAATTAGTAGCTATATCTGCGGATAAATTCTCTTAGAAACTATCTTAATGGAAAAGCTTTTTGAATTTCATATTTGATAAATGTACCTTTCACAACTGGCGCGAAGAGATAACATAATAACAATAATTGCCTCACTTCGCTGTGAAGGCACACAATTTATCATGGGCGATGCTGCACGTTGACTTGACGCGACATCCGAGCGTAGGCGACCTGTGATTTCATTTAAAATAACTTAAAAAGGTTATACATAATACTCGGATATCGATCTCATAAATATTACTCAATAATTGACTCTGATTTAATGGTTGAGTTTTAAAATAATTGTAAATATATTTTTCGTTGTCGCAGTTAGTAACATATTGTTGAGTCTAAATTCTTAATGTAGTTATTGTCTCCGAGTGGTGTAGGGGGCCAGGGTGAATGGTGTGGAGGGCACTAATGTTGTGGACGTGTAACAACGCTGGGCGCCGGCGCCGGCGCGCGTGTCGCAAGTGGCGGCTGCTCGCGCAACCTGCAGGTAACGCTACGCCGCGACCGCACGAAACCCTTCACCGGCCTGCCTAAACCCTCACCGTTCTCTACACAAACCTTATGTCTATTAAGAAAATCCATTTACCTTACCATCTTATTCTTCTGTTATATTTATAAACCTTAATCGATTTACATAAAGTCTGATAAAACATCTGCTTTTCATCTTTTTAATTGAATACTTACTTAGCCTAAAAACAATACATATTACCTTAATTTGTAGACACAAGGTCCCGTATTTTTTAAATATGGGGCCTTTTAAGGCATTTGTTCATGTAATTAAATGCTGACTAACCTAGAATGTAGTAAAAAAAGGTTTCATACATATCCGATAAAATAACTATGTACAAATGTAAAAACTGTAAGATATTGTTAAGCCAGTAAAATGGACCCCGGGCAGCCTCCATGTACCTATTTTGAGCTTATCTTAATTATATTTGAAGCTTTAACTAAAGGATAACTATCCTCTGTATACTTTCAGGAAGTCATAACAACTGGATATTGCTATCGAAATGGCAGCAGGATAGTTCCTGGTATAATTATTTTTAAATGTATTGGCAGCCCAAGAACATCAGCGCACTGCGCAGTGCCATGCCTCCACATCCCACAACACCTAACATTGTCTTCAGCAACTCACAGGAAGTTAAGAGCCGCCAAAATATCTGAAAACATTTTTACCGATTAACATATTTACGGCCAAAGATAACTAATGAAATACATTGATGAGCATATCAGAACCTAACCAATCATTGAGTGACCTTTAACTATAGAAGCATTCTGAATCGTCAATAGAACTAATCCAACGATTGACTTTATCAAATCACAGTGATATTAATGCGACAGATAAAGTATTCGAAAGCGACAAAAAGAATAACCATTAATTGTATTGTTATTAAATTGAATAAAGCTTAATTCTGTTAACAGTTGGCTTTAAAAGCATTTAACGGTGCATTATAAATCACTTTCTTCGCTAATCGATTGTGATTTCGAAAGTGAGAGGTGTGCCAGCAGCGACACACTGCTCCAGGAGATGCACAGCCCTGCACACAACATTATTGTAAATCATCTCAAGGAAAATTTAAAAAAATGGTCAATCTTTTAAATCAATCATTTAATTATTGGAATGATCTACCGATGATATAAATTATGTCGATAATGTATTACTCGATCGACCAAGAGGAGATTTAGAATCTAGCGTCCAATAAGAAACAATTACAAGCCTGACTTTATTTATTGCTGTGAGTTTAGTTAGGTTAAACTGTTATTATTGAGCTTAAACGTGCAAGGTACTAACGCGCCACAATTACGTCCAAGGTTAAGACAAAAAACATCGAAAGCTTTAAATGAAGTCATTCGTACTAAATATTTGCACTAGTCGGGCAACAGCGGGCGGCCTCAGCTTGTCGCCACCAAACATGGCAGTGTCCGCGCCGCGTGCGCTAGCACCAGGAAAATGGCCGCACTTCTTAAAACCACCGCAGTCGCAGTCGCAGAGTGATGTCACCGGCCCTGGCCCATATATTACGTGTTTTTATTTATCTCCAATATTTCGATTTATTACAGAATCGACTCGCGTCCTTTTTGTTAAAAACCGAACGACGACATCCACAATTTTCGTAATTCAATCGTATGTTACAACCGATTTATGTCGTTTTCAAATGTAAATCGAATAAACTCTTGGATTCTTGATTGATATAAATTTGAACAATATAAATCACAAAATAATTAATGTGGGATTTGAGCCATTTCTAAATAAGCGAAATTTATTATTCTTTAATACTTTAAAGGCTAGATGTGGGCAGCCCCGCGAGCTCACGGCCCACCGCTGGGCGGCTGGCGAATGCGGAAAACGGATGACGTGACGTCGGCGCCCACTCAAACACAATAATGTGAATTCTTTTGCTATTCTAGCTTTAAATTTTAATATTTGAATCTTAATTTTACATTAAATAAAGATAACTTTTTAACTTTTGGTGCAAATTCTATAGTGTCACATCATCAAGTTATACAACATTGTATTAAGTTAAGGTTTCTTTGACAATTTACCTTTTACCAGAGATAAATGATGACTGCCATCAAATATGATCTACAGGATTCATCGGTCCAGGTATCTTAAAAACGGGTCTAATATTAAAATGTAGGATAATCACGCCGTTCATCTGGTGATCGTTTTTGGTAATATTTTTCGTAAAGACAATAAGTTAAGTAAGAATGTGAAACTGATGTGAATTATTACATGGGTATTTTTGTTGCAGCGCCGACACTTCGATTGAAAGTAAAAGAATTACTTAAAGACTTGCATAATTAGTTGCATATTCGTTAAGGGCATGGAATGCAAGGAGACTCATTTTGGGCAGAATGAGTCAGCCCCGTCGCCGCTGCGCCGCCACCGCCCCGGCCCTGCACGATGCCCTTGCCAATACCTCCAATAAATTATTACTTATTTGTTAAAAAAAATATAGTGATAACATATTTAAATTTATCATTATGCAAATCTTGTCAATGAGCTTGATGCCTTGGCTTCAGTGATATTGACGAAGTGATGATGGTATCTCAAATGTTAATTTTATAAAAAAAAACAGTAGATAGTTGTAAATGACAACGCGGTAGGTATGCCTTGGCCCGGTGTCGCGGCGGGCACATGGCGTGGCTCACCTTCACGCACCTTATACAGCGCAGAAGTAGGATTATGTCGGAGAGCTTCGATTCATGAATTCAGCAACTAGAGGCGAGACGAGGCCGAAACTGCACCGCACAGGGCCGCCACGCATTCGTCACAAATAGCCTACCAATACAAAAATATGCAAATTGCATACTTATATTAAAAAGGCCAAAAATTAAATCCAAGGAAAATCATGATGCAAAATATAACCTCTATAGTAGCTCAATCTCGATAGATATTAATCGGAAGAGAAGGACATTTAAATGTACCGTAACGACACGTCGCTGCATAACGCGGAACAAGCTAGGTTACATCATAAGTTTTTCCATGACACTCGCTTGTTTGTGCTTGGAATGGTGCGAAATTTTTCAATGCCTTACTCTAATTTATTTAATTCTCTCTGATTTTTATCAATTACATGCGAAAGAGAAGATGTCTTACAAAACAGCGGTACATATAGACATGTTTAGTGTTTGGAATATGTGATGCAATATGTGGAGGGCGTCCTCTGGAAGGTCGGGTACCGGTGTGTCCGGTGCGGCCGGTCGGGCGCTCGCCGAGCGTGTCCTGCGGGCTCCGGGCACAGCGCACACAATGCTTCTCTAGTGCCACTTCACGCTTCGAGTGTTCCTTCAGGAACGCATCTAAGCGAAAACATACCGCAATGCTTTGACACAAAAAGATTATTTAATTCCATATTAAAAACACAACAATAAAACATTTACGCGAAAACGAAATAATCACAAACCACAAAACCAAATGATGTTACATTTAATTAACGAAGACTTAAAATACAAATGACATTCCTACAAACTTCTGAGAATTGTTATTATTGGCTACGATGCAAATTGATGCATTATGCAGTCGACTTTACCTCGTCGTGTCTTGTATGTCATGTTACTAGATTAAGTACTTACACTTTAGTCTTGAAGGTCGTTTGGGTAAAAAATATAGACAATTGTTTTCATAATCTCTCTTGACGTGATTTCTAGTAGAAGTATGGCAAAAATGTCGCTGTATATAAAATACGAAGAAGAAATATCCCTTTTCTGTGCGTCCCCTACATCGTCAATTGAATGTAGACAGACAAACTGCAATTGCGGATGTCTGTGGGCAGCGATCGCTTCAATATTTTAGTGAATTCAGATGTCCGCGTGCTCGTTTGCTTATTTATGATATATAAAAAAAAACCTTTACGCCTGTCTTTTGATTGAAACATCTTTTAATTTAATAGCATTTGTATTGACATAATAAATATTGATTAGTAACAAACATGGTAAAATGTATAAAAAGGGCGATTGAAAGGGAATTATGTCAATAATTGTTAGATGATGTGAGAGTACATCACACACATAAGTGAATGTGGCAATGAGTGAGCCAACCATATGGTGTGTCCACGTATGGAGCGCCCGCTCTGCCTTAAACAGACTCCGCTTGACGTTCGCAAACCTTGTGCAATTACATCAACATTTTTTTTGCACTTGGACTATTTTCGGTTCAGGGAGAGGGAACGCGAGAAAGTATGTGGATCGGTCGATTTAAAAAATAGAGGGCTCTTATTTAATTCTAACGTTGTCATACACAACTTAACTCCGTCTTGAAATATATGAACATCTTTAAGAAATAAACAGATTTCCCAGTTTAAGTTAAATATTTACGTGTTAAAAAACATTTGACAGTTCCAATCGTTTGTTACGGAAGAAAACTAAGCAAATACAGTGCATCATAGTGTTTTCGTGTTCTGTATGAGGTAGCGCTCGACGAACTCCTCGGTGAGGTGCAGCTGTCGCCGCAAGTAGTCGGGGTCGCGCCGGCAGTGCGCCAGCACCGGCCCGCTGCGGTCCTCATTGCAATACCGGAGGAACGTAGCGGCCTCATCGAACGTCTGCTGCGCGGCCAGTGGCTCCATCAGCACGTATGGAAATATGCCCAGCGCCATGAACATGCCGAACATTCGACTCTTCTCACACCACCGCACCAACTCCTCCATGTCATACTTCAAAACTTTTAATCCGAGCTTCGTCTTTTCATCCAAATTCTCCGAGAAGACGGTGAAGTAGTGACGGATTATTTCCCCCTCGTGGCGCTCCCTGAACTCGCGCTCCGTCGTCAAATACAGAAACACCATAAGATCGAAAGCGGGCGGGCCGTAGCGCAGGCACTGGAAGTCTATCAGCAAAGCGTTCGTCGGCATGTCGCCCTCGTACTTGTACATAATGTTATTTACCCACATGTCTTTGTGCAGCATCACGTTAAGCGTGCCCTCGTGCTCGGCGAGAGTGTTGCATGCCTCTAGATACCGCTGTGCGAGGCGCTGCTCGAGATTTGGCGGGTACTGTTTAAATTTGTTAGAAAATGTCTGTTCAGTACAGAACAAGAAAATAAAAAACTGTTGGAAATATCTTAGATTCGCGTTTAATTAGAAGAAGTACATTAGTGCGACATGTGTGCGCTTGAGTGCGAGAATTGCGAGAATGAATTGAATGAAAGAGTGAGTGCTTGCAGTTGAGTGACGTCGCCCCCGCGCGGCGCGGGCAGCTGTCAAGTTCGGCGCAGACATCCTCCGGGGCCTTGAAGGCGATAGCCTTCAAGACAGGTCTTCTTCCGAGGAGGGTAGAAGGCATAATCTGTTGAGTGCCCTTCGCACGGTCCCTTGAGAAGTGACGACGTCAGCGACACGAGGGA